TGTCTTCCTCCCACCACTTCAGGGTCCTCCTGGACCTCCTGGACCTACTGGACCTCCTGGAGCACCTGGCGGCGGATTCGACATGGGCTTTATTAGCCAGCCAGCCCAGGAGAAGGCACCAGATCCCTTCCGCCTCTACCGTGCTGATGATGCCAATGTGATGCGCGACCGCGACCTGGAAGTGGATACCACCCTCAAGTCCTTGAGCCAGCAGATTGAAAACATCCGCAGCCCTGATGGCACCAAGAAGAACCCTGCTCGCACCTGCCGTGACCTGAAGATGTGCCATCCTGACTGGAAGAGCGGTATGTAGCCAGCTCGCAATGGTCGACTCTTACTTAACGCTCATGGGAGTTTTACTTACACAAAAATGTTCTGAGGGCAGAGGGATAAATGATTGTTTCAGGGAGATCAGATCACCAATCAAATTGTAGTGGAGGTGGATCCAAGCAACTAGAGGAGGTGGGACAAACCAATCTGATGTCTTGGTCCCTCCTCCTCTTGTTGCTTGGACCCACCTCCTCTACAATCTGATTATTAGAGGTTTTCTCTCTGGACCAATCATTGTTCCTTCTACCCTCATAACATTTTTGTGTAGAGTAAAGTAACATGTCATCAAAGTCACACTGTTTCTGTAAATGTCTGTGCTCTAGAATGTGTACCCCTTGATTTGCACTAATAATTAGCTTCTTCCTTCCCTAGGTGAATACTGGATTGACCCTGACCAGGGCTGTCCTCAAGATGCCATTAAAGTCTACTGCAACATGGAGACAGGCGAGACCTGCGTCTACCCAATTGAGGCTGAGGTACCCAAGAAGAACTGGTACACAAGCAAGAACGCCAAGGAGAAGAAGCACGTCTGGTTCGGAGAGGCAATGACTGATGGCTTCCAGGTGAATGACGATTTCTGTAATATCTACCTTAATGACAAACAATTAAATATTGTATTGAAGTGTGATGTATTGAATATGCTTTTCTTGCTCCCTCTCCCCTGACAGTTTGAGTACGGTGGCCAAGACTCCAAGGTTGAGGATGTCAACATTCAGCTGACCTTCCTGCGCCTGATGTCCACTGAGGCCTCCCAGAACATCACATACCACTGCAAGAACAGCATTGCCTACATGGACCAGCAGGCTGGGAACCTGAAGAAGGCCCTGCTCCTGCAAGGATCTAACGAGATCGAGATCAGAGCCGAGGGCAACAGCCGCTTCACATACAGCGTCGCTGAGGATGGCTGCACGGTGAGTTCTCACCTCCCTACTCCTGTACTCAAAGCTTAAACACTTCGTAGTGTGTTTCTATGATTAATCATAGACTTCCCTCCCCCAACAGTTTAGTATGTCTAGAAATAGTAAACTGTGGTGGATCTATGTACAAAATGCTTAATTGGACCGTCACAACAATAGCTGGTAGGGAATCTCTTCAAGAAGAAGGTGCATTGTTTCCTCTAAGGAAGTGGAAATTAAAAAACAAAGCAGGCAAGTCCAATGTTTTAGCAAAAAAACAAAGGAAAAGAAAAGCTTTGTGACAGAAAATGATTTCAGACCACTAGCAGAACAATAATGATACATCAGTATATTTGAGGTTGCTTTTTAACTGGTTAAAAACTGAACTCCTGGATCTGACAAGCAAAATATTGGAGAATCACGTGGCTCACAGCAAACATTCTAAAACATTCAGCTGACTGTGGTCCTGGGTGGCTTAAGTTAGATCCTATGCCCAAAATGGGTACTAAAGTAGTGGCTCTAGCCAATGGTACTTAAGCTAATGTTCATTTTTCTCTCTCTTCCTGAAGTCACACACTGGCACATGGGGCAAGACAGTCATTGACTACAAGACAACGAAAACATCACGCCTGCCTGTTATTGACATCGCTCCTATGGACGTTGGTGCACCCAATCAGGAATTTGGCATTGAAATTGGCCCAGTTTGCTTCTTGTAAAAAAACAAATGTGGACTTGAAATTGTTTTTTTTCTAGCAGTTGTCTCTCTAAAAACTTTCCTATGCATTAAGAAAACGTAAACTCCATTTGGCCACAAATGGTCCACTTGCTTAAAACTGCACTTATGAAGACGGTGTTTGTGTGTTGTCAGTTTTGGGGGAAATGGGACCACTACTTTTTTACCAACATCTTACATCAAAGATACCAAAGACTCATTCGTGTCACCCGGAACAAGAAAATAATATATACGTGTAAAGTGTAAAATTCCCCTGGAGAGAAAAAAAACAGGTGATTTTTGCAGTTTTTCATACCAGTGTGGAAGGACAAAAAAAACCAAATGCTTTGTACCGTTTGCAGGTGTTAAATAAATTTGAAAAATGACAGTGAAGTGTCTTGTTGTTTTAACCACAATAAGAGTGACCAAATATATATTTTAAATACAGTGAATAACAGAGACAGAGGTTTGTTTTCATTTTATAATCTTATGGCTACCTCAGATAAGAAATTCACATGACCCAGTGTTACTCCATGCTAGGCTATGTGCAATTTCTTCATGGGGTCCTGTCAGTGGTGTATAATAGCCTACTACCTTTTAATAAGATATTGTCACAGATACTTACAGGACCTTTGGTGCTAAACAAAATGGCTTACTGTCCAAAGCAAAACAGATGTTTGTTTTCCTTGTGAAGTGTCGGTTGCAGGTCTACAGCTTAATTTCTTTTTTTGTAAACACGAAGCATACATTCTTGTCTGGTGTAGATTAAGCAGGTGGATTTGTTTTTTAAAAAATTCCGGCCCCTTTGTTGCCCGTTTTGCTTTTAGCGAGAAGACATCTTCACCCTTCTCGTTTTGCCTTTCTGCAAAGAGCTAAAAAAGCAAGAAAATTTTGAATTTTAAAATGAGAGAAACAGACACACTTTCTAAGGGGGTGGGTGGGGTAATGGATCATCTGTACCTATTTTGTATATGTATAATAATTTGAGATGTTTTTAATTATTTGAATGCTGAAATAAAGCATGTTAAATGATCGACTTAATTTTGTGAGATCTTGACTTTCCTGACTGAACTTCTATTGGATTTATTTGAAGCAAAATATAATCCACATAGTTTAATTAAAAAAAAAGCTGAAGAAGGATTGCGTTTGGGGGGGATGGGGGGTGGGGCACATTATTTATTGTAAACTGAATAATCAAATGTAAACAAAGCATTTTATTTAAAATAAACTTACCGGTTTTCACATATCAATTAAATCTAAAAACTAGCATTACCACTCTTGTTTATTTGGGGACCAACACTGTGGATACCAAGCAAGAATGTTGTGATTTATTAATATCTCTCACAGCATTTTAACAAGTTAATATTTTGTGTTGGTAAGTTTTTTTTTTTTGACATCGCTAAACATCCTGCAATGTTTTCAGATAGGAGTGTAATAGAAAGAAAGTCAATACTACTGTTTTACTTGCTGATTTTTACAGATGTGAATATTATATGGTAAAACCTGTTATTTTGCTTTTAAATAGTCCAGCTACACTCTGCTCATGATTCTAAATTAGTAGCACCTGTTTGAGGTCGTTAGCTGTCATAAAAACACCTGTGCACCCCACAATCAGCCAAAGTCTAAGTAGCAACATGGGCAAAACCAAAGAGCTGTCAAAAGACACAAGAGACAAAATTGTAGACCTTCACAAAGCTGGAAAGGGCTACGGGGCAATTGCCAAGCAGCTTGGTGAAAAAATAACTGTTGGAGCAATTGTCAGAAAATGGAAGAGGCTAATGATGACTGTCAATGTCCCTCGGACTGGGGCCCCATGGAAGATCTCTCCTCGTGGGGTTTCAATGATGCTAAGAATGGTGAAGAATCAGCCCAGAACTACACGGGAGGAGCTGGTCAATGCCGTGAAGAGAGCTGGGACCATCGTTTCCAAGGCTACTATCAGTAATACACTAAGACGTCATGGTTTAAAATCTTGCATTAAGTCAGCCCATGTCCAGGCCCATCTGCCAGGGACCATCTGGATGATCCAGAGGAGTCATGGGAGAAAGTCTTGTGGTCAGATGAGACCAAAGTAGAACTTTTTGGTCTTAACTCCATTCGCCGTGTTTGGAGGAAGAAGAATGATGAGTATCATCCCAATAATACCATACTTACAGTGAAGCATGGGGCTGGAGATCAAATACTTATTGACCTCACTGTGTATATATATATATATATATATATATATATATATATATATATATATATATATATATATATATATATATATATATATATATATATATATATATATATATATATATATATATATATATATATACACAAAACACAAAGTAGCATGAATAAAAACACACTGTCCCTAAAATAGGTTTATCAGGTTATGTGTTAAGCACAATTTGAAATGAATAATGAATTAGAGGACTGATTCTATATTGTAGAATTTAATCGTGGACGTTACAGGCAACTGGCAAACTTCCCCTTTCAGGGAAATACTCAGGATAGCCACCAGAGGGCAGCAGTCATCAGGAAGCTTTTCAGCTCATCTATAACGTTCCAAGTAATTAGGACTGATCATTGTTCCGCTGGCTCCCTCTGTCTTGTAATATTCCCTCTTTAAGCTACTTGTGTTTGTCACTTTGTTCTCAGACTTGATGTAGCCTCGATCATTGCAAGTAGTATATGAGCCAAACTAGTCCATCATGTTATTGGGGTGCCAATGGGATAATGTCCAGAACAGGTGACCACACTGGGGGTGGGGGCAGGGGTATGGGGGGGCTTCCCTCTTGGTATACTTTGCCACAACAGGTGGGGCGGTTCTGCCGACTCAGGCGAGTTTCCCAAACATGAGCATCATCCATTAATTACCTGGAGATCAAGTTGGACACCATGATTGACTTAATGATGGGTTGGGCAGCTCAAGTTTAGAGAATAAAATGCCCCATCCATCCGTCCATCCATCCATCCATTCATTTTCTGTGACTGCTTGTCTTCTTTGGGGTCACAAGGCCTATCCTGGAGACTACAGGCACAAGACAGGCAACAACCCAGGATGAGGTAGCAGCCTATCGTAGGGGGAACTGGAGTATCTGGAGGAAACCCCAAGACAACACAAGGAGAACATGCAAACTCCACACACTGAGCCATGATGGAGACTCAAACATTGGTCTCAGAAGTGTGAGACAACGATGCGAACCACTGCACCAAAATGCTGCCCAATTAGATGCCTCATATTTTGTTTTCTACCCCCTTAAATCCACCCCTAGTTCTATGGGTATTTCTTGCTCATTGTCATTATTAATTAAATCTGTTGTAGCTTCTTGAAGTAAATGATCAGTTACAAATCAATAACAATGAACGAACATGATTAATGTATGAATTCATTCATTAATCAAACTAATAGATAAGTAGTGTCTTTGTTTTACTTCAGAAAACCTACTAATTGGTTTATTAGAATCATAATTACCAATATCTGTTACGTAGATAATGATTTTGTGCACTATAAAGAGATGGTTAACAAAATTTTTATAACACTAAGACATAATCGATAATTTGCTTGTACCTAAGACTTAGTTTGTGGTTAAGTTGGTTCTTCATTAATCAAGAGTATAATTGCATATTATTGTTATATTTATTTGTTTGTGTATTTCTCAATTGGGCACAGTCAAAACATTTTTGTTCTTTCATGATCATTGCAGAATTTTATTAGATATGCTGAACAATATTGCAATGAACAAAAATAATCGAAAAGGTGTATTTGTCCCAGAATATAAACTTGACTCTTGAACAACAAACTGCTACCCTGTTATTTCACTGGTGACTGGGGGAAGGCCAGATTGTTAACTGACAGTTCTTTTGCTGGAAATTGTTGCAAAATTGGACACGCAAAATAAATCATACAATTTCTTCCACAATCATAATATGGACCAGGGTGTAAATCAAAATCACACCATTTGTTCATTCTTGGTCTTCCTTCCATGCTTTAGCTGTGTGGCATTTGCAGTAACACTGGTCTCTGCTACTGTGCCTGCAAAGCATTTACTATATATACACCTTCATTTCTGTTTTTCTGTTAATTTGAACATAGATAAGAAAAGTTATCAATTACTTGTTTTACAAAATATGCACCTTTATAAATGTGTTTTACTATGTAATAGGATTGTCACAACAAATATTAGGAATTTAAGGAAATTTCACTGAAATATGAGGTATCATTAAAGATCATTTATTTCAGGAAATGTTAAAATACAAAAAGTAGAAAACAGTCATATGAACAAAATGCATTGTCACATAAATAGTACTTCAATAAATAAATAAATAAATAGATAGATAAATAAATAAATAAATAAATAAATAAAT